AAATAAGTTTGGACGAAAAAGAATATGAAAGGCCTCGAATTTCAGGCAGAAGTTCCAAAGGCCCTGGGAATTCACTGAAGGGTCTGGAAGGAGAGAGCATCAATCCGATGAAGAAAGCAGTATCGACGACCTAATCCGATGGAGTATACGTCCAGCTGTGGGAATCCGAGGCAGGACTGAGTGGGAGAAGGATAAGCTACGGGACCCAGTGTTTGTCTCTTTGCTGCCTGGTGAAGGGCAAAGGAGACGGGGGCGGGGGTGGCAACAAGGATTCTGAGATTACTGGCCTTGAAGCAGGAAGAACGGTGGTGCCGTTGACAGAAACAGAGGAGAGGGGGACCTGCTTGGGGTTGGGGGAGAGGATAATATAAATTTATACATTCTGAGTTTGGGGAAATAGTCCATGACTCAGAATGGCATGCAGTTTATATCATTCGTAAGGATTTTATATTTTTCATTTTCATTACACTTTGGCAACATATAACATGTACAAACTAGTTTATAAAGCTCTCCTATATGCTATTTATTTAATTCTCAAAACGTGGAAATTATTTCTTTAACTTATAGGTCAGAAATCCAAGACTTGGTGGTTAAGTGATTTGGCCAAAATCATAGTCACTCGGCGCATGACTAAGACCCCAATTTTTCAACTTGAAAGTCTAGTCTTCTTGTTTTCACTGAACTATCACTGTCACCTAGTTCACATCCATTATTTCGTGTGACATAACAGTCGCATATAACAAGTATAGCAGGCATCATTATCTTATCGCGCCTTGAATACCCAGACCGCTAAGCAAATTTAAAACCGAAACCTACTGCAAAGCTCCATCTCAAGCTTCTACTCTGTTATTCTAGGCCATCTCATCCACAACCAGTTTTAACTCTGTGTAAATAACTCACCAACTTTTATCTCCAGCCTAGAACTTTACTTTGAGTTCCAGATCTATATAACAAATTGTTGACTCACATCTAGAGGTTTCAGATTTATCTTACATTGTGTATGTCCCACATCAAACCTTTACGAACAACTTATAAAGACCTCGAAGGCACTCTGCAATCTGGGAGCCATAGCCGTCTGGCCCCATTTTCTACTTTCTCTCTAGTTTCTGCAGCATCATGGCTTTTGAACCTCGTCTTCTCACTGCCTGGTGCCCTTGCTTGTCCCTTGATAGCAAACTGGCTAATTTCCTCACTTCTTGTAGGATTTTGCTCAAATGTCCTTTTCCTTCAATCTTGCATGCTGTTTGCTCTATTTAAAATTGCAACTCCATCCCCATTGCTTGCCTCTTTATTTGCCCTTCCTGACTCAATTTCTCCATATTTGTTGAGTGTCTATACTGTATGAGGCTTTGTTTCAGGCCATCTAACATTAAATATTTTATTTTATTTTTTTTGGTCTCCTCAAGTTAGAATATAAGCTCCATAATTTCAAGGACATTGGTTTGTTTTGGGCTCTGCCTCCAAGCCTATATTACAGCAAGGTACACAGTAATAGTTGAATAAATATTTATTCATGAATGAATCAATTCTGTCCTCCTTTCCAGAATTACGACCTAAGTGGATGGTTCCACCGCCCTTCCAATTATGCAGGCCAGAAGGCTAGAAATCATTCTCGACATCTCTCTCTTTCTCACCCACATATCCCATCAATCATCAAATACTGTTACTTCATCTCCATCACTCTAATCTTTCCATTTCTCTCTAAAGCCACCTCCCTAAGTAGACCTATCAGCTCTCCCCTGAACACATGCCATAGTCACTGGTGGCTTATCCACACACATGACCCACCCATTCTCCATACCGAATCCAGATGGCCTTGCCGACACCAAAAATCTGCAGTGGCTCCCCACTGCTCTCAGGATGCTGACAAACGCTCTACGTAACCCCAAGGCCCTGCATGCTCTTCCCATAATTCCTGCCTCATCTCCTCAGTTCACTCAGCTCCCTCTGTGCCCACTGCACGTGCCTGCCTTCATTCCTAGGCACTGCCATGTTCTTGCCTGCTGTTTCCTCTGCCTGGAATGCTCTCCCTATCTCCTTTACCTCCTTAACACCCAGCTCACCTTCCAAAATGCAGCTGAAGCAGAAATTCCCTAGGAAGTCTTTCCTGATTAAAAAAAATTCAGATATAACTTACATAAAATAAAATCTACCCTATTTAGGGTAAAATTCTGCAAGTTTTGACAAATGTAACCATGACCACAATCAAGATATAGAACATTTCGTCACCACCAAAAATGTCCTCATACTTCCTCATAGCCCAACATTTCTTCTCCACTTCTCCAGCTATCAGATAACACTGATCTGTTTTCCACCCCTTATAAGTATTGGCTTGGCCAGAATGTCATGTAAATAAAATCACAGCGTATGTAGACTTTAAGGTCTAACTTCTACTTAGTACAATGCATCTGAGATTCATCCATGTAGCGGTGTGTATCTGGAGTTTATTCCTTTTTATTACTAAGTAGTATCCCATTGTATGGCTGTATCATAGCTTGCTCATCCTTTCACCACCTGAGAGATATGTGGGTTCTGCCCAATCTTTGGTGATTATGAAAGAATGGTACCATAAACCATCATGTACAATTTTTACGTAAACAGAGGCTTTTATTTCACTTGAGTAAATATTCCCTGTTAACTGATGCTTATCACAGAATACCTGTCTTGGTCAGTTTCAATTTTTATATTTGTTTGTGTGATTATTTAATTAACATCTCACCCATTGGATTATAAAATCCATGAAAGCAAAGACCATATCAGATTATAATCAGCACTGTACCTCCAATTCCTAGTATGTGCCTGGCACACAGTAGGCAGTCAATAAAATAGTTATTGAATGAATGAATGAACGAACTACCTCCTCATTAGGCAGTGGAAGGAACGTAAAGAACGTTCCTTCTCTACTTTTTTTTTAAATAGGGGAAGGAAGATGGATAATATATGTCTAAATGTTGCTAAGCGCTAAAAGAGGCTTCTTTTTGTGGGAGAAAATAAGACGATTTTTTGGTTTGTTTTTCAGATTGTAAAATCACCCTCACGTTAAAGAAAACTTTCAGAAAGGAGAAAAAAGTGGTCCTCCTCATTATTACAACAAAACTGTTTTCATTTTTGTGAAACCTTTGCAGTCTTGTCTTTGGTCTATTTGCTTTTAAACTCTCTTGGGCTGGAAATAAAATAAGCACCCAAATGCATCAATCTACACTTTTCCCAACCTGACCCGCAGCAGCAGAGCAGTGGAGGGGATGGTTCTGTTTTTCCCTTTTGCATTCCACCTGGGAAAAGTCATTTTACAAAAGAGCTGCCAGAATCCCAGAGGTGGCCGGGGGTGTGGGGTGAAGAGGCCGCAGCTCAGGAAGTGGTTTGCCTGCCCGACCTCCCACAGTGAGAACAAGGGGCTCCAGCTGCTAACACATCAGACCCATCTGGAAAAGAGAGGAAGACCTCCCCTCTGCAGACTGCACGGCTCAGTGGTGGGAGACCACCCTCGGGTTTCTTACCCGCAGGAAGGAAGGAAAGCCCTGTCCGTAGTATCCAACGGCAAAGTATTCAGGCTGAGGCCTCATGGCCTTAATGATGTTCTCATAAAACGAGGCTCTTTTTTTCTGGAAAACAAAACAAGACATTCCATGGGGAGGTTACGAGGGCACAGTTGGGAGAAAAAAAAATGATCTGACTATTTGCCTTGTTGTTTCCCATGTAACACAGAGAAATGAAAGGTCTTTGGAAAATATCTTGTGGGCCAAAGAGTTATCCTGTTCTCAGATTAGAGCATCTGAACCTAGTCCATGAATGGGGCCATGGAGGGTCTGTGGTTCCCCAGAGTCGTCTGTGGAAAGATGCACGTGTATGCATTCTGCTATGGAAGGAGGCAGTGCTTGGCTTTCACTAGTTTCTTGGAGGCCCCCTCACAAGCTAAAAACCACTTTCTGAGGTTCGCAAAAGGTGTCTGCACTTAAATGGAGACATATGAGAAAAGAAGATAAAGAACATTCCAGTTCGTGCATGTGGTTTGGATTAAAGTCTTTGATTCAGCTACAAGTGCCCAGAAAGTGGAGGTGACGTTCTGTTTTCTAGCATCTGGCGCCACCCGGCCAGAGTGCATAGAGTCAGCCTTAAAGAAAGCAAAACAGGGAGCCAGACCCAGGGGCTCTGACGAATGTCCCTAAGCCCCTCCCACAAAGGTTAGCATAACTATATCACTATAGCTGTCCCTTCCTCCATCCACAGGGAATGTGGTCCAAGACCTCCAGTGGATGCCTGAGATCGAAGACAGTACTGAACCCTATATATATTATTTTTCCCTTACATACATACTTATGGTAGAGTTTAATTTAAAATTAGACACAGTAAGAGAGTAACAATAACTAATAATAAAATAGAATTACAATAATATACTTGTATGTGAGTATGTATGTATATATATATATACATACTGCTATGTGTGTATATATGCATATATACACACATAACAGTAATGTAAGTTACGTGAATGTGGTCTCTCTCTTTCTCTCTTAAAATATCTTATACTATCTGTACTCACCTTTACAGGTAAAGGAAGCACTTTACAGCTGCTCTTTGGCATGTCCAAATTGCCAGCATACTCTTGCACTTTGGGGCCATTATTAAATAAAGTGAACATTGTTTGAACACAAGCACTGTGATACCTCAACAGTCTATCTGAAAACTACTGATAACAGCTACTAGGTGACTAATGGGCAGGGAGCGTGTACAGGTGGAGACTCTGGACAAAGGGATGATCCACATTCTAGCACTTTCTGGGTGAGACGAAGCGGGGTGGTGTGAGATTTCATCCCGCTACTCAGAAGGGTGCACAATTTAACATTTACAAGCTATTTATTCCTGGAATTCTCTATTTTGTATTTTCAGACTGCAGTTGCCTGTAGGTAACCGAAACCATGGAAAGCAAAAGCACAGAGGGGAAGACTACTATTCTCTGTCTAGGTGAAGGCTTCTATTACAATGTTTTCTTAGAAGGTTAACACGTTACATTACTAACATCTTAGCTCAATTTAGTTTATGAAATTAATAAGTGATTTTTTTGTGTGTGATGGCAGGAGCTGGTACAATACACTGGCAAATCCTTTTCAAAGTGATTTTGACAACTACCTCCTCAAACAAATTATTGTGTGACAATGGGTGATGTGACCTTTTGTGACTCCTCTACTAAAAATTATCAAATGTAATATTGCATTGGCCTACCACTGGGCCTTTAGAAGGCTGATTATGTTTTGCTTTATTGTTTTTAAACAGCTGATCTGTACCAAAAGCCAGGTGTTCAGAGAAACAGTAAAAGTCGAGTACTCCAGTGGCATTCAGGAGAAGGAAGGAGGCAAAATTTGAGAACCCAGTTCTGGCAGAAGCATTTTACAATTTAACCAAATGTGCAAAATGGCACTCTTGAAATAATAAAATGAGGCTCAGAGATAAGTGAGTTTAGTCATTCAGCAGGGCCCCGAGGACACGGACCACAGAACGAGTAATTTTGATGAACAGAAGAACACAGAAAACATCTGAAATATGGATGGTGTTCCCGGAAGGTAGAGTAACTAACAGGGTAAAGGGGAGATCGTCCAGAATGTGGAGGTCCACAGAAAAACAAAAGGCACGGTGAAGAAAGAGAGGGCCACAGACAGAGATTCTGAGCCCTCTGTCAAAGGACAATCTGGAGAAATAATGACAGCGCTTTTGGACCCCATCTTTTTTCATTTTTATTTAGAGCAAGGTTTATATTTCCACTGTAAAGAACGCTGTTTATCCTTACTTTCTCAAACTTACAAAAACATTTTCATGAACACTCGCTTTAGCCACCTGTTGGAGACTTGACGTATTCTGGACCAGACTCACCAGGAGGTTGCCAAGGCCCTCGTAGTCAAATACTTTGCTCTCATAAGTCTCGGCCAACTCTTTGCTCAGTTTGATCGCCTTCTCCCACATCTTCAGAAAAAGAAAAGTGCAGAATAAAGTAGTCACTGAACCAGCAGCAAAAGCCACTTTAGAGTCACTGGCAATGAGTAAAGAGTCTGGTGGGTTGAGTTTCTACAGATAGTCCCGACATGCCTCATCTCCTGGATCAACTAAACCTTTTTACTGACATCATAAAGCTACTATATCTTGGCTGCTTTGCCTGGGGTTATCTTCTGTAATTCTGTTTGCAAGAACATGAACTCCATGTGGCCTGAACAAAGCGATACTGAGCTTAAAAGGCAAAGCACTAAAAAACTATTGAAAGTGGAGGGGAACCAGTTCTAAGCCCAGGTCATGAGAGTGTAAAAGTCTTATTGGAGGGGAAAGTTGGTTTAGGCTCTAGTTCGGGGGGGGGGGTGGGGGGAGGGTGTGTGTGTGTGTGTGTGTGTGTGTGTGTGTGTGTGTGTGTGTGTTTGTTTCAAGGCAGGTTCTTTGGGACGGGGGAGGGAAATGGAAGACTAACCGTTCTGTTGTGTGGAATTTGGGGAACCATTTATCTAATTTAGGGCATTGATTTCCTGTTTCTAACTAAACTACCTGCTTAGTCAAAGAGAGTTTTAGGAAATGCCTTAGCGCATTTATGTCCATGTAAGTTACTGACTAATGCACACATCTGGTACCAGAGGCCAGCGTCCCCGACTGAGTATAAGATGGACACTATGAATAACGCAGCGTCTGGAAACCTCCTGCTTCATTCTTGTCGATCAGGTGCTATGTTCCATTGTTTCTGGCTGCTGAAGGAATGTACGTGTAGTTCACATGTGGTTGTAAAACATTTAAAAATATATATCATCATTTGCCAAATATGCCCTTTTGAAATTACAGGGCCTGGGTCACTGAAAAGGCTCTGAAACGTGCCACATGAAAACCATTCCAGATCAGCCGGGCCTGGTGCAGGAAGCCAGTCAACAGCATCAATGGGGCAAATTCCCTCCTCCTGTCACCAAATGCTAAGTTGTGTAAGAGACAGCGGGACATCCTAGTATAGCAGTTCTCAAAGTGTAGTCCTTGGGAGTCCCCAAGACCCTTTCAGGGGGTCCATGAGTTCAAATTATCTTCTTAATAATACTAAGATTATTTGCATTTTTCCAATGCTCATTCTCTCATGAGTATACAATGGAGTTTTCCAGAGGTTACAGGATACGTGACATCACAAGATTGAATGTAGAAGCAGGTATGAGAATCCTGCTGTCTTCCGTAAAGCAAGATGTTAAGCAGATATGCAAAAATGTCAAACACCACGCAATAACATTTTTTTGGAAAATTTAGTAATTTTTCATAAATAGATATGATTTATATTAACAGACAATAGGCATATTATTATTGTTAAAAGAACAAATAAGTAAATATTTTAAATTTCTATTTTAATTTCTAAAAGTGTATGTATCAATATAATGCATGGGAACAAAAGTTCTTTGGGGTCCTCAGTGACTTTTAAGAGATAAAGGGGTTCAGGGACTAAAAAAGTTTGAACAAATACACTTGCCCTCTGAGCCTGAAGTTCTTTATCTGTAAAACAGAGAGAAAATCTACCTAACAAGGTTAGAGGGAGTATTAAATTAGAAAAAATTCTGAAAATCACCAAAACAGTTAACTAGCACTAACTAGATGGTAGCTGTTTTATTGCGATAATTATTTGGCTTATTTATTTACTTAACCAATGGATCCCACTGATTAAAAAAGAAGAAATGGCGTTTGGAAGTGGCAGCCCACAAGAACTCTCTAGGCCTCTGAAGCGTTTTGTTTGGATAACATACATTTTTTTTTTCTTTCTCTTCCAACTCCTTCTATAGATATAATTTTAATTTTAAAAGATTTTCATGTGAATATGTGAATATACTTTCTCCAGATGATCACAGCATCCATAACTTCCTGGCCCAGTTCCTATGTTTATTTTACCTTCTCACCCATCTAGGCATATAAGTTGCTCATTACCTACAGTCCATGGTGTCTCCTGGGTATGGGATGTGCACAAAATGTTAGCCAATGATCTTTAGAGAATGCACTGAAAATGACAGTACTAGCCCCTGGCACTCGGCAATATTCAAAATATAAAATTACAGTTACAGAGAGTGGGCGCTGCCCATTGTACTCTCCATTGGGTAAAGTGTCCTCGAGATAACTAATCTTTATGCTCCTAGGAGGGAGCTTCTAACGAACCCCTGGAATTTTCCTAGTGTCTCGATTATTCGTGGTGGAACCTCCAACCACACCTGGGTTTATGCTGCTGAGGTGACTCATAGTGAGTCCCTTGCCAGAAAAAATATCCATATGATTAGAGGGTTGGGGCCTTGAGCTACATGATGTCAGCCTGGTCTACGGGGAGAAGAGGGGCTGAAGAGTGAGTTCACTCATGTGGGTGATGATTCAATCAGTCAAGCCGACACAATGAAACCCTAATAAAAACCGTATAGAGGCTCAGGTTAGCTTCTTGATTGGTGAACCTGTTAATTCCCCTGGAGGGTGATGCGCCCTGAACCCGTGGGGAGAAGAAACAGAAACTGCATTTGGGATCCTTCTAGACCGTGCCCTACATATTTCTTCACACGGCTGGTCCTGATTTGTGCACTTTCAGATAAAACTGTAACTGTAAGTAGAACATTTTACCAAGTTTTGCTAGTTGATCTAGCATATTATCAAACCCGAGGGGGTCATAAGACCTATCCCAAATATACAGTCAATTGGGTGGCCTGGGGACCCCTGAACTTACGGCTGATATCTGAAATGAGGGCTTCCCTTTTGGGGACTGTGTCCTTAACTGGTGAGTTCTGAGCTAACTCTGGCTGGTTAGCATGAGAACTGCATTGCAGTATTTGCTGTCATTTTCCTCTTTCCCCTAATACAAGAACAAACAATCCAAGACTCACTTTGCCTTTGTCAAAATAGGATATGATTTCTTGATACAGCTTCTCTTTAAGCTCTTGCTGGGTATAAACATAGTAACTGTCCCTCTGAAGCAAATGGGGTACACATGGCTTGTCAGACCACTGAAAAGCAAACAAAAACAACAAAAAAGATTAATACATGTGTCATTTAATTCAATTTGTTAAAGGAGGTTAATAAACGTTAAAAAAAGTCACAAATATTTTTCTATATCTGTGACTTATCCATATTGCATTTTAGATTATTAAACACAAAAATTGCATACATACACACATACGCATGCCACTTTCAAAACAAGTGCTGTGCTGAATGCTGAATGGACACACACTTGAGGAATTTCCATGAAATTCGGGAACAAGGTGAGCTTGCCAGACAGCACAATTACTGCTGTACTGAAGGTATCAGTCGCAGTCAGAAAAAGGAAAGAAATCAGAAGTATAAAAATGGAAAGGAGGGGGTATAACTATCACTACATACAAATAACAATTGCATTCTTCACCATCAATGGCCTCACGAAGGTGCCAACTGAAAAACTGCCACAAGTAGAGAAAATTCATTAGGATTAAAAAACTGACGTATTTAGAAATAATTCAGAGATAGACCTCACATAAATAGATAACCATGCTGAAGATAATAGAAGAAAAAACCCCAATAAGGATAAATCCAAAATGATAAAATATCTGGGCACAATGTAAATGTACTTAATGCCACTGAACTGTACGCTTAAAAATGGTTAAGATGGTAAATTTTGTTGTGTATATTTTACTATAATTAAATTAAAAAGAAAAAATAGCTAGGAATCAGCATAAGAAGGAACATATAAGACTTCCACACAGAAAACTTTGACACATCACAAAAGGGCAAAACAGCGGACTTGAATGAATGGAAAGTCAGAACATGGTTTTGGATAAGAAAACACTATTTCATAAACATGGAAATTCTTGCTAAATTAATTTTTTTTAATTTCATGATTTCAAAGTCTATAAAATAAACCAAAAAAGAACAGGTAGGAAGACCATGAAAAAAGAAAAGCAATGCACAGTAACTACCAGGCGGTAAAACATAAAGAATTAATAATTAAGAGTGTGGTACCGGTCCATGAACAGAGACCCATGAAGAACTATATAAAATCGAGAGAAAGACTCTTCCCACCCCATAAAAGGATTTAGTATATGAAAAAGAAGGGATCTCATACCAATGAGGAAAATGTGGACTATACTTATTATACATCTCTATTTAGTAGCTATCTGAAGGAAAAAAGTATCCATATCTCATATCTTACTTTGCCAAGGCAGGAGAGTTTAATTTTTCTGAGCAGCACAAGTGAAAAGATCTATGGTTACAGACACCAGGATTTCTTTCTGATTATCTCACAGTTAACAAGCCTTCTTCCCTAATCCACATACAATAAACTTTTTAGTGCCCCAGACTTGGATATGAATTGTGAATGGCTGCCTTGGGGAAGTGGTGAGGCAGAAGACATCTGTTTTAGTTTATAACACTTCGAAGGGTATACATGTATAGTGTAAAATAAAAATTAATTTATACAAGAAAAGGGCAAGAATTGCTAAGGGCAAGAATAGAGGCAGGGAGATGTAACAGGAGGCAACCGTAATGCTCGAGAGGAGAGACAATGGTAGCTGGGATCAGGACGGCAGCAATGGAGGTAAGGAAAGCGGAGAGAAAAGAAATGAAGACAGGATATCAAAGAGATATCTGCACTGCCAAGTTTGCTGCAGCATTATGCACAGCAGCCGAGTTATGGAAACAAGTGTCTGTCAATGGATGAATGGATAAAGAAGATGTGGCATATATATGTACACTGGAATATTATTCAGCTACAAAAAAGAAAGAAATCCTGCCATTTACAACAACATGGATGGACCTGGAGAGCATCGTGCTGAGTGAAATAAATCAGACAAAGACAGATACTGTGTGATCTCACTTACGTGTGGAATCTAACAAAGCCAAACTCATAAAAACAGAGCTTTAGAGCAATGATTACCAGGGATTTGGGGGTAGAGGTGTTGGGGAGATGTTTAAGGGTACAAACTTGTAGCCAGGAAATAAATAAGTCCTGGAGATCTAACGCACAGCACAGTGATTATAGAGTACAACACTGTATTAAAAATTTTGAAGTTGTCAAGAGACTAGATCTTAACTATTTCTACCAAAAACCAAGAAATGATAATTATATGACATGATAGAAGTGTTAGCTATGATGCTAACCATATCACAATACATAATAAATAAATGTAATAAACCAATACTTGTACACCTTACATGTACACGGTGCTATATGTCAATTATATCTCAATTAAAAAGAAGTGGACAGCTTAAGGGCAAGTTTTTAGACGAAGGGTCCACGATTCTTGTTGGTGGAGAATGTGGGAGGGGGTAAATAAAAGATGATGACAAGTATTCACCTGAGCAACTGGGTAGACACTGGTGCCCCTTAGTGAAATGAGAAAGAGAGGAAGGAATGGATCGAGAACAGTGGGAAATTGGAGCTTCTGTTACAGACATACTAAGTCTGAGTTTTCTATCAGTCATTCAAACACCCATGTTGAAAGAGCAGTTTATATGTGAATCTGAAGTTAGAGGAGTAGTCAGAGCCAGAAATAACTATCTGGGATCCATAACGTATAAATGTGTTTATATTCATGACACACTATAATTTTATTTACTAAAGACAGCATAAATAGGAAACTACTTCCATGGTACTCTATTCATTCACAACTCATGTCTCTACAGTTTTACAAACTATTTTACATACATTAATCGGTGTTTCTTCAATTAGAGTGTCAATTACTGGGGCCTGTAAGTTATGCTCTGCTTCGTAAGGATTTTAAAATAAATGATGGCTGACATTTTCCCAGCCTTGATCTGAAAATTAGCCGCTTAGAAGGTATAAAAATATTCTTGGATGAAAGGCTCTCCCTTGAATAAGGATCTTTCCCATCAAAATCACGAAGCATACAGGACTGGACAGTTGACACACTGCATTTTGTCCTCCTCCCTGTTGAAATGAGCAGCCCTGACCCCCTCACCTGCAGAAGCTCAGCGTGTAAGAGCAGCGTGTAGGCGGCTTCCGTGTAGTTCTCACAGTCTCGGTGCAAATCCCGCAGCTTGTACAAGTATCTGGGAGGAAAGGGAGAAGGGAGGCATTTTGCTGCTCAGGAGTTGATCCAGCATTCGGCTCATCCCGCAACTGAACCACATCCTGCTTCCCTTCCCATCTCTTCTCCCCCTACTCCTTTTTATTGGGCCAAGGAATTCCTTACTTCCTGTCTTCCCATTGCTTTAACTCTCGGTGCTGCTTTCTGCCTGTGTGGCTTTCCTACTCCATCTACTTCATACTCTTCGTGGAAGGCAGTGGTGTTTAATTAATTTATTTTACGTTATGGACCCCTTTGGGAAGCCAATTAGAGCTATGGAATCTCTCCCTAAGAAAATGCATATATTTTATGGCCAAACTGGTTCCATGTTCAGGGATTCCTGGATCCCAAATCCTCCTTGGCAGAAGGTGAATTTTCACACCTCCCTCTGTGCAGCCTTTTCCGATCGCTCTGGCCAACGCCTTCCATCCCTCGCTGTAATCCGGACACAGTCCTCCCTATGCACTATCTTGTATTGTACTTATTTGTATATCTGTCTAAAGAGTTTATCCTTTTAGGGGGTGGGGGCACAGCACATACTTGTTGGCGTCTCTCATAGCAGCAAGCACCGTGCTGGGGCTTAGTATTTGCTAATTGAAGAAATAACTAAAACAGCCATCACATAAATAGCAAAAGCAGAAATTCCCTTCAGCTTACCTTATGTATATGTCCTCTCTCTTCTTTTCTTTATAAAAATTCTACAAAAAAAGGTCACAAAATGCCAATGTAAATCAGGAGTTTTTTGACTAGCTTGCCACGGAAATGGCCACATAACTACTTTTGTGTTTTGACAGTGTTACTTCTCTGAAGAAATAAACTTTCCTTTAACAAATACTGCCACGGGGAAAGGAAGTGACAGTTTTATAAAGAAGATAAGTTGGAGAATTTTTTTAGAACCATGCTTCTGTGACAGGAACGTTCTAAGGGAACATTCGATCGCCAGCTTCTGCTCAAGTCGATACTCTGCTTTCTCAGGGGATCGGAGTGGCAGGTTCCTGGTTTCCAGAAAGTAGGGGAACACACGGTGGCCTAAACCTCTAAGGTCTGTGGTCCCCATTACATATGTCTAGGGAAAGGCAAGACCGAAGAGTCTACCACCATGAGGATATTAGGCACTGATGCTCTACTTATGTTCATCTGTACTTAATAATTCCAACAACATAAACGAGACAGAGAAAGAGTGAGGATGGCCTTCAGAAAGAGAGTTAAGAGCTTATGTTGCATTTGCCATCCCAATTTTACCCTCAAGGTCTGTGGCTGCTGATATCTGTAAGTCCAAAGCTGAGCTGGCTGTTCTGATTAGACTGAGCAGGACAGACTCCATAAAGATGGCGCCGGGATTGCTTTGTGTCTGTGAGATCTACTTAGAGCTGAGCTGTGGGGTGCAGGAGTGGCCTGGCATCACCCTCCTGCCATCCCAGGAATTTGGCACGTACCAGCACGTTAACGGTACAGCTCATCCGGTTTTCCTTGCTCTCATCATGCATGATGATGGTTCTGTAGTCCAAGAGATTCTCTAAGAGGCTGCTGACCAGGAGCGCAAATACTTCACCAGAGCTGGAGAGGTACTTATGTTTCCGGCAATGTTCTAGAAGCCTGGAGGGTAGAAATAGAGACAAATGCCCAGGTCTCATGCTGTCATTCCAGCACCACTCACCACCTATAAGCACTGTCCAAGGTCCTAGCAGCAGGTGGCGCCAGACTAGGCAACACACATCCTTCACGGAAGTTAATCAAGTTATGTGCTGTCTTTAGAGCTTTAGCTCAAGTCCCACCATCACCTAGAATCCCAGCCCACAGTGCTCTTCTTTGAACTTCTATTTGTATTTTTTGTGTGTTTTCATTTTTTGTCAATACCACACAAATGAGAATCTTTGTCCAAAAGGTTTGTGTAATGCTATTTGATCACTCTACTCAAGTTGAAAGAGACTATTTTTTCTGTCTTTATTCTCCCTAAAGCCTAGCACGCTTCAAGGCATCCCGAGGACACTCTGGAAGGCCTTGCATCGATGCCCAGCCCAGAGGAAAACCTCGGAACCTAGCATACATGTAGACACATGGCTCTTCAGTTAAAAGTTTATTTTCAGAAATAAAAAAAAAAAATGCAGAGTGATAAATAAGACTGAAGCTAAACTTTTGGTCTAAATTCTTTTTCTTTGGACCTAAATAGAGCAAAGCGTCTATAGGGGCTTCTTAGATTAGACAATTAGAAGAAAACTTGGAGAACAAGAGAAAAAGAGAAAGAAATGTATTCAAAGAATTAGTCTAGAATCTAAGATTATTTTTAGCCACTGGAGATTTGTGCTTTGTATTTTTCTGAGTTAGTAATCCAGGAAGAATGAGGAAATAAAATAAGATCTTTATGTGAAAAATCAGCTATTGATTTTTTTTAAACGAGTAGTTTTTCATTTGTCAATACCATGTGTGTTTGTATGTGTGTGCAATTTCTCCATTAATTCCTATATAAGATCAGAACTGCAAAAGTACTATGTGGGAGGTTTGAAGCCTGCAGATCTAATGGAAGCAGGATAAAAAGATCAACAGTCTTATTATCCATTAAAAACAAAATAAGAAAGATTTCTGGTTCTTTAAAATACAGACGAGTCATCAATTCATTTCTGAGTACCCAGTGTGCTGATTCCTTAATAAATAAAAGTCTTTAAAAAAAGAAAAAGGTGGGAGCTCTGTCCTCAAGCATAGTCTAGTATACAACACTCTCACAAAACAGGTGAATAATGAAACCACCCAGGCACCCACCCAATCAACAGGTGACGCAGTTAATCAATATCATAAAAGTTCAGAGAAGACATGAAAGGAGTCGTCTAGAGTACTTATAGCCTTAGATGTGGGAGGATTTGAAAATAATAGTAACAAGCACAAACACCAGAGTAGCTGACATTTATTCAGCATGAACTCTGTAACAGACACTATAAGAACACATCGTCTCATTTCATCCTCATCGCAAAACCAAAATATAGATTCTATGATTCTAGATTAAAAAAAAAAAGGCGTTGGATAGGTTAAGCCACTTGTCCAAAGTCAAACCCCTAGAATGTGGAGAGAACATGATTTGAAGTTTAATCTCTGACTCCAACATGCAATCATTTTTAATCACTCTTTTTATACTCTAGTTTCATATGTGCAAAGGAGAATTTAGAAGGCCAGGGCATGATGGGTGAAGGGCCTGTGGGGCTTGAGTGGGTAGGGCATAGGGGTGCGAATGTGAGCGCAGAGAGGGAATGAATGTTGGATTGGGGGTGGGTGACGGGAGGGCAGTGAAAAGGCCAACATGGCTGGAGATATTACTGGTTTTCTTAGAGGTCACGTACAGGGCATAAGATATTTTAAAATGTGAAGTGGATCTTGACATGTTTCTTACCTTACCTTTTAAATTGTTGCTTTGAAGACATAATTAGAGGTGCTAGCACTTTTGATGAAATTCATAAATTGAAACACTGGGCAAAATGCCATTGCTTCGTACACCTCTCCCTCCCTCCATCTGCTCTGTTCTCGGTGGCTGGGCTGGCCAGGAAAACACAGACATTTGACTCACATCGGATAAACAAATGTCAGTAGTGGATGGTGTAAACTTCACTAACCCCACCAAGAACCATTAGTGGTGGCAACCCTAGTGATTCTGTAACTACTCTATAGGTCTGTAAAAAGAGCAGAAGCCTGTTTTTCTCCATCACTAAATAATGCCATCAACTTGAGGTTTTGTTTCTGAAACACTCACAGTTTTTCCAGAAGGACCTTGTACTGTTCATCTCCTCTGCCTCCTTCCACCTCTTGGTCCAGCTTTGTAATCAACTCATTCTCAAACTGAAATCAGAGTCAGAATTTCACAGGACAATAATGCCAACCTTTCTAGATTTGGCCTAAACTCTTTATTAAGTTGTGAATCATTTTCAACATATATAGAGAAAGATCACACTTCACATCATCCATTAACAGTATACGAATGCCCTGTCAAAACGTTCTAAAGTAGTCTCACGCTACTTTGTCCTTCGCTTAACATTTGCAGAAGAAAATTACCCAAAACATTATGTTCCTATTATAACTATGCATATAAAAATAACTTCATGATTCTAATTTTCTATTTTACTTTTGGTTATTGTATAGGTCTTGGCAATGGGATTGCTACTCTCTAATTTCGCAGAGCTTCATTCATAGCTGCAAAATCTGCCTTTCAATGTTGATATACTGTATAGATAAGAAAAGTGAAACAAAAAAAACGTATCAGGCAAACTAGGGTCTCTAACTAGAGACCTCTGCATCATTCTCTCCCACTGCCTTATTCTCTCAGCGGTATTGCAAGATTAAAATTAAAATTAAAATGCATGAAGTCAAATTTTAATTATCCAGAGACGGAGGGCTGCTTTAGAAAACACATGTAACAAAGGGGTCACTTCTTGGCCCTGGGTTAGAATATCTGCTTCTATTTCTAATTGCTTTACAAAATGAAATGTAAAAAAAGTTTTTAGATCAACTTTGATTTGTATGATTCAGGCTATAGCTTCTGTATATAGAAAGAAAATAAATAAGAGTTGACTATGTGCATGAGTAAGATTATAGGTCTACCACCTCTTACCATATGGAAATTGCCATTTCCACTGAAATTGAACTCACACTGCATCATATCAAAGAAAATGGGGATGGTGGCTTTCCGAAGCTCTACTTCGGGGGTCAATGTGACCTCCAGAATGGGACCCACCATGGAGGGGATGAATTTGATTTTGTGAGGACCTGAAATAAAAGTAAGGAGGATATTATAAAATGATTTCACTGGAAGTAATGGGTTACAATCTTCCTTGACAGGGCCCATAAGAAAAGAAAAAGTTTATGTGGGTAAATCAACTCAACTCAGAAATGAGTGACTAAACGTCATATTCTGGTAACATGTGGATGTCGCCAAGAGACCCACAAGTCAATGTTCACTTCCAGACACACAGACAAATAAATCTCAAGAGTTACTGGAATTAAAATAAAAAACGAATTCATTATGGTATGCTTATCACACAGGAGCTGCGCGTGGGCCTGTTCAAGGTCATAGACTCACCCAGGTTATACCACATGTCCCGGATCCTAAAGCCGATTTCTTTTCTCATGTCCCCATATCTAGGAAGAAGATCATAAACCGAGAAAAAGATTTTCAGTGGAAACGAGTATATATAATAAAATGATGAGAGGAATAAAAATAGCCTGTGTTGTTCTAGGTCACATTTAAGGCAGGTTTTGAGGCGAGGTCACTTGAAGAGGTGCAGCTGATGCCTAACCAAGCCCCCACAGAACTAAAATTTCTAGCCTTTAAATGCTAAATTTCTCAAGTCATTTTTAACCACACAGCCTTTGAGCTTCCCGCTCTCCGTGAGCTCTGAAACAGATCTGAGATGAAAGCAATAAAAGGCTTCCCTAAATCCCTCATCACTCTTGCACATTAGTCCATTTTAAATTCTGAGCCAGAAATCTGGAGGCCATGTTTAGGTGATGTGGTCATCTTGGCTTCTCTGCTGAAATGACTGAGAGGTATGGCAACGGTGCCAAGGAGCCCGGAGTAGAACGCAGCACTGTGCCTGCAATTTGGACAAGCTACCAGCAGAGGAACAGCTGTTCTCGTAGATGGGAGCGCTGGCCAGCCTCCTGGCCTCTCCACTCACTGATTCTATAAAAAGAATGTGATGGGTGATGGGAAAATGAATGGGGCCTTGAGAAAAGAGGCCTGAATGTGGAGAAATTTGAGGTCTGTTAAATAATGAGAAGACCCACGTCACTAACAACATGGTGGTGGCCAGTGAAAAGTAATTTCTATGATACTAAAAATCCTGCTCTGAATACAAATGGAAAAATCACCTAGCCAATCTTAAGTTTAAAAGGACACTTACTTTTTTACAATTTTGGTGCGCTTGGCTTGTGAGAAGGTTTCAAGCTGAAGGGACTCATGGGTGAGAAATGCTACTGCCAAATGGAAGTAATTGTTCCAGAGCTGTTCAAAATTAATTGCGTGGGTGAAAAGAAATGGAAAATAACATCAATAAGGGTCATTATAAAAGTGTCGCATGGTAAAAAGTCGCTTGCCTGAGATTAGTAAAAAGAAACAAAATAAAATCCATGAGACTTCTTTTTCTTTCTTGTGTTTCAATTATTCAGCCCTGAAAGTTTTAACACTTACTATTAAGCTTTAAAAAAGAAATCCAAAGTATTATATTTGTCTTTACTCCTGAGATAAAGGCAAACTGCTGCCGAGAAGCATACCTATTTATAGTAAGTAGTTTGGCAATAAGTATCAAAAGTTCTAAAATTCTGCCAAATTTTTGAACTAGTAAATATGTCAGGACTTAATCCTGGCAAAATAAATCATGGGTATTTAAAAATATTTAGAACAAGGAAGGCCCTCACAGTGCTATTTAACTTAACAGAAAATAGGAACAATTTAAATGTTCATATGAATTTGGTTGAACAGATTGTGGCCCAGCCATACAACAGACTATATTCAGCCATTAAAAGTACCGTGGAAATATTTAATATCATTGAGATCACAGAAAATGTTAATAAAGTAGATTAAGAGGTTACCAAAAAATACACAGCTTGATTCCATTTTGGCATATATAAACATATACCAATAAACATTTATACACACATATGTACATATTCACATTTACACTTATATGAATAAATATATAGATAACTGTCTCTATTTATGACTCTCTACCTTTAACGTTCTACAGATACAAACAAAAGCACATGACACAGCAAAAGCAAATCACCAACAAAATGTATGCTGGAACATAAGCTCCATGACATCAGGGACTTTGTCTGCCTTCACCAGGGCCTGTGATGTAAATACTCTAATATTTGTTACATGAATGAGTGAATGAAGATGGAGCTAGTGGTCACCTGTTTTGCTGTCACTCTGGAATTTCAAGCAAGTTTACATATGAACCGCGAAACTAAACCACCTGTAGGTAGAGGAACATCTGCAGGCCTGTCTGCAGGGCCGTGTGCGTAGGTGTCTTTGGGTTATGTTAACAGAAGACGGTAAGGCAAGCTCTCTTTCAATTTTCTTGTTTTTGCTTAGTTACATTTTCTATTACTTTTTTTACATGTATTAATTTTACAGAAAGAAGAAAAAAACCCTATCTTATTGTGTTTGGAGGACAGAATGATGAGACTGTGCTTTAGGAAAGAAGAAAAGACAATTTTTCTTCATTTGAAAATGATGAAATCTGAGGTGATGTTTTCTAAAATAAGAGTATTCTCTTGCTTTGGCTGAGCATTCAAGGAATATCCTTGGTGAGTGGCATGCTTACCTGAAGTTCAAAGCTTGCCTGATCCATGAAGCACCTTGTGAGAACCTCAGCAAACTGATTTATAGCACGGAGGAAAACCCTGGGGAGAAAAACACAGGATAAAGAAGGCGAAGTCAAGCTCGTTGAAACACTTCCCATCTATGTTGCAAACCAAAGCAAACCAAACCCTGACTTGGCAACATACGACCTATAGATCAATGTCCTTAGAGACCAATGACAGAGCACAGTTTGCAGAGGTCACTGAAGGTCAGGCTGAAGAACAGACTACAAGCACTGTTCAAGGCTGCATCACAATTGAGACAAGCCAGGTCTCCTAAGCCTCAAACCAGGGCTCTTTGTATTTTATTAAGACACTTCTGTTTCAAAGTCTAGGATTTCTGGAGCAATTTTTTCTCTAATCTGTATATAGTTGGGAAGGGTTTTTTTTTTTTTCCATTAGGTATCAGGGTGAGGTAGAGTGAACGATAATGCCTCGAATAATGATTTACTTTATTCAGCTCTTTAAAAAAATTCTGAAGCTCTTTAAACATAATATATGCATTTAGTTCATTTCACTTCCATTTAGCAAGTATTTTTTGTGGGCCAGCCACAACAAAGCACTGGTTTAGGTATGGGCTTGAAGGAGCTGGTTCCTGTTCTTAAGTTTCCAATTTGAGAGGGGTCATCTGCAACCTGTAACTCTAACCCTGACCTAATAAAGAACATGGGAAATTCTATGAGGAGATATCAAAGAGGTCTGGACAATCAGAGACGATGACATCCAGAAAGGCTTGCTTTGGTGATGGTATCTGACAAGTACCCTTGAGGAATGGGTGGCAGGCTGACGACCAGGGATGGGAG